TAAGTGAGAAAAAGAAAAAGATGTTCATTTATATCTACGCATCAACAGCAATGAACAACTTTCTTTATGTGTGGAATATACTCCACGTCCACATTCCATGCGTTTAATTATTTTTGATGGCTTCCCTTACAATGATGAGAAAATGGAAGGAAATTGTGTTTCTATTTTAATCTTAACAAGTAGACATCAAATGTAGCTTAATATTATTTGAGAATATGCACATTGTTATACCATATGTTAAAAAACTCAAGGCTGTCGGTTGGTTTTTGAATAACTTTTGATAGAAAAGAGCTAGACAGCTCCTATTTTATTTGAATACATATACNAAAAGGCTTTAATTTCCATGTAAAACCAGTTTTTTCCCTCTCTCTCAAACACTAGACTTTGCACCCCAAAATAGACGCCACTTTCGGAATTCACGTATAAAACCGAATCAGAATACATATACTGTTTTCTTCCAAACCGAACGCAAGTACAATCGATCTGGTTCGCTATGAATTCTGCCAAGAAAGTTATACATGAATTACATAAAAAGAAGTAAAAGTCAACACTTGCTGCTGATGTAACAAAGCTACTCACTACGAAAAGGAATGAACAATCTACTTTCGATAACCCATGAGGGCATACAAATGATTTCCACACAAGTAATTGTAGCGTTTGATATTATTCTCGGATTAAGTAAAATATATTGTTTGAAGAAGAAGATTCTTCGTAGGGTTCTCTAAAGATCTTTTAGAAATTCATTCAAAACCAAAAGTGTATTTGCCTTGAGGTTACAATTAGTAGTTTTAATTGCTTTATTTGATGAATTTAAGACACACACCGTCAAATCGAAATCTAACGTCGATAAATGACAGTATGATCAATTTCAGAAAAAGCTAAGGTTTAAAATGAAAAAAATACTTTAGCTTGGTTTTTTACTGAAAAGAGTAGAAAAAGAATAGAAAAACCTGTTCTTTCATATGTTCTACGAACATGTGGTTGAAATAGAGATGGGCTGTAACGAAGCTGAATAGAACGAATACGTTTAATGTGCAGTATACGGAGCGACAGAAGGATGAATATTCTCATTTTCGTTCTTTTCATTCCATGATTATATTGCATTCCGAATAATTGACTATGCATATAACCTAGTTCCGTCTGTTCTCATTCGGAAAAGACAAACTATATTGTCACTGATTTATGGGTGTATATAGACGAAAGTTTCGTGAATAAGACAAATATGTGATATAGCTGCTTTCGACTAAACGTAATAATTAGCCTCTTACGCAAGAAGCGTAAAACGTAAGAAGTTCCCTTCTCACTGACTCTTACGTTTCTTCGTTCAAAATATATAAGAGAAAACTACCGTTACGTTCATTACCAGGCATGCACCAATACCAATCATTATTGAAGATATTGTACAATATTATTGGCTATCTAATAATATTAGGTTCTAATATTATTGTATAACCAATATATTGGGACCAATAATATTGGGCAATATTGGGTTCCACAATACACTGCATTCCAACTTTTTAACCTTAATATTATTTACCAATTTATAATATTATTTAAAAAGTTTAGGACTACGTATATTCAAATGTAAACATTGGTCCATTGTCGCTGTAACACATTCACCGACAATACTTGAGTCTTGTACGTTGAAGCCTAACACATATATCCATTGTGACACTGTCCAATCACGTGCTCACGTGATTCACCTTCACATTCACCTTAAGTGAGAAAAAGAAAAAGATGTTCATTCATATTCATTTTGTTGACATTTAAGAGTAGATCGACGAATATTAGCAATTTGAATTTCTGACTGATGGTTATCCTTAAAATGATTAACTAATTGTTCTGCCACTTGATTTTCTTTTACATCACCAGAAGCAAATCGAATAATGCACGGAACGAAAGGAAAACGAGTTTGAGCATACCGCGTTGCTTCCGTTGTAATCGTCTGCTGTTGAAGAGCTGTTTGTTGATTTTGTTGTTGACTTCCACTAACGCTTGCAATTGTATGTTGATCGATTTGTCTAGCTGTTTGTTGTTTATAGCGAGTGGGATAACGATGATTATAATGATCATAATTTTGTTGCTCTTCTTGATCGTAATTTTCTTCCTCCATGAAGTAATTCTGATTCTTTCTACTTCTTTTGTTTATAACAGTTGTATATCCCTCATTATCTTCATAATCATCACGACTTCTGCGACTTGGAGTTTGTGCTGGAGAATTGATTGGTTGTAAATTTGATGAAACTGGTGCTGGAACACGACTTTGACGAATGAAACGAGGGTTATACTGAACATTTGTTTGTTTATCGTAATATTCATGTGAATCATTTGCTAAATTCAAAGCTCTGTTAACTGATTGCCGCAGTTGTACTGTACTATGTGGACCTTGTCGATTATTATCATTCGTTCTAGGACGATTGAGTTGATTATGATTAGAATTCATCGTAATTTTGGTAAATTAATTCCAAAATTTGATGAAATTGTGAAATTCACTAGCCACGCAGTGAATGCGTGATACAGAACACAAAAGAATGTATATGTAAGTATAAATGTCCGTAAAAGAACACGTCCGTTCACCACGAAGAAAAGATGAATTATGAATTTCTACGGTTATTTTTCGTCGTGCACTATTCGAATGCTGCTTTCCAGAGACAAAATGGGTGCTTGTATTCTCTTTAGGAGAGTAAAAGCTCAAAAACCTCTTCTATCTCGATCATTGTCTAAGTACTTGAAAGTATTTTAATTGCCATTTCATACTATCAAATGTTATCATACTCTAGAATACGCTGTTCGATGTCTGAATAACTTTTGGGAGAAGTTAGATAGAGACCTGCGGTTTTCTATAGCGACACTAGCATTTGCTGCAAAGTATTTTATGCCGACGATAGGTTTCTCATTATGACGATAGGTTATATTACCCAACAACCCGAGAAAGGGTAATGTTACGAACCATATCTGGCACGGATAATTCCACTACCGTCGAGAGTTTCAGGATTAGTTCTCCAAAAGGTATATTAGTTATAGTATCATCGCTGATCGCAAAATTGATAAAATGTTCTGTCGGATCTTCCTAAAAATCTTGACATACTGATGATCTCTGTTCAGTAAAGGTTCCTGAGACGAATTTGACTGCATATTTAGGAGCAACTCTAAAGCGATACGGCGCTAAGCCTTGAATGACACTTATGCTATGTTATAGACAATGCTACGATCTATAAAGGTTCTTGATCAGTTGCCCTTGAGTCAGCACTTTTATTGTCATTGACAATAATTTCCATAACAATGACATGTCGAGCACCATGCACTGGATTTCGATAATATATATGCGACCAGATCGACGGAATTTGGAACTAACACACCGAGGACCGTTTTTTAGGATACGTGAGCAAATAACAGAGTTTTGTTGTAGTCAACGACGTTTCGTACGATTACGTTACCCTCGCTCTTTTCATGCTTCCGCGTGTAGCCAGCACTTCTTGAGCTCTTGTTACGCCCTTCTCTTTCTCAGACTGATAATCGCTATTCTCTGCAGCTTCAGCATTATATCCTCTTCTTTCCTGACGTATCCTTGAACACAATTGGATTTTTTTCCAATAATTTCGATACTTTGAGCGCATGAATTGTCCATACGAATGGTCCATATGATCCTTGTTATATGTTAATAGAATTGCTTGTTGTAGTGTTATGGGTTGAAGGCCATTCTCACTTGATTTAGTGTTTCCATCACGAAATTACAACTAAAACACCTTTTGTTTTTCTTTGGATTGAAATCTTTGTCAACAATTTCCTAGTGTTTCAAACAAACGTACGGTTTAAAGTCATGTTTGTAGCCCGCGAAGATCATGTAGAGCTGGGAGATGCACCATTTTGATCAGAATTTCACGGGCTACAAACATAACTTATTAAGAAAAGCTTCGGAGATTTTCTGGAGTTTCTTTGAAAAGCAATCTTTGAAGGTCTAAGAGCCCATCTCATGTTTATATTTGAGATCAGCACCGTCGGTTACCTATCATCCACTAGATTTCGGCTTAAAAGCGATTTATCACTTGGTGGTCTTCCCTCGTCAGTCGAAGTTTTTGGTACACCCATCGTCTGTCAAAAAAGTCAGCGTTTCAGAACAGTGAAGTTCGAACTTTTGAATTCAAGTTGGGTATGGTTTCTCAGTTACCAAGTTCCTCTTCTGCGCATTCCCAGTCTTTTGAAAAGTATCTGACCTTTAGTTTTCTTGATTAAAAAGTATTTATAAAAACACAGAATCCAGTTCACTAGAAACATAAACATATAAGATCAAAAGCAAAAACTTTGCTTCTTTTTGTTTTTGTGATTGTGGTCATTTCACGTCTTTTGGTTCATAGATAATACCACCAGAGTCCACTTTTGCAGTTTGCGCTTCTGATTCTTTAATGGAATCTACTATGTCTTTGCGAAATGTTTTGGCGATACTTTTTTCAAGTAACATATCATCTCTCTTTTTATATTCATTTGATCCACGGTCTATAAAATGAAAATTTACAAGTACGTTAATCAACTATTATCTAATTATTATATAGGTAATTTCTAACTAAATGAACAACTATGTACAAAGTGTACAGCAAAAGTTTTCAACATTCTGTTGTTCCAGTAACAGTAATTCTCTTTAAAATCATATCACCTTCAACAATCATCGTAGAGACCTACATAGTGTCTAGCTGTAAACAAACATATCACCCGAACAAAAAAAGTAAAGTTAGTTTTGAGTTGCTGAAAAATGCTTTTTCGTATTCACCACACTCGACAACCCAGAAGATTTTCAATTTTTGGTAAGGGGTACTTCCGAAAGTTTAAGAAAAATTTTGAAACAAAATGGCGCAAAAAGGTTTCCTTGAAAAAATAATATTAGTTTGAAAATTTTTTCTAAACTTTCGGAAGTATCTCGGACCAAAAATAGAAAATCTTCTGGGTTGTCGAGTGTGGTGAATACGAAAAAGCATTTTTCAGCAACT